TAATAATAGTATAAAAGTGATAAGATTATAGTGGATAATTCCACATATTTACAATAGGAAGAACATTTTGCTGGAGTTCGTTTTATATCATCCAAATCGACACGCTTTGCACGAGCTTGTGCACGTTTCGTTCTTCCTTTACTGTTTTCTTATAATCCCAAAAAACCCGGCAAAGCATTCATCCCAGCAAGGCTAAAGATTAAGATAACCCTCCCCCGAAAAAAAAAAAGAAACCCGAAAAGAGAAGGGAAGAAACTAAGTCTTTTGAAATCCAACTTCCTAATGTCCGCCGGGTTTATTTATTAGAAAGTCGACATTTATACCGTTTGAGGACAGGTGCCAAATTCCCTTTGCCTTTCGGGTAAGCCACATCACCAGCTGTAGTGCCCGTTCGCCCCTTACGGCATGACATGGCGGCCTCGACACGTTTAACCACGTCCAGCAGCATTGCTGCTGTCGTGAAGTTGCTCTGGTTTGAGATGGGCTGGCTCAACTTTTGGGGATAATCGGCCGGAAGCTGGAGGCATAAACAGGGAGAGATCGGAGATCGAGGCTTTGAAAAGGCCAAGTCGATAATCCCCTTAAAACAGAAAAAAAAAAAATGCATATTTGAGTTGACTAAAAAAAAATAGCAGAATAAGCCAAGAAAACAATACAAAGTCGAAGGTCTAGGCAGACACAAAGTTTCTCACACAAAAAAAGCATTAAAATGGTAGGAACACAAGCGAAACAAAAGTAAGATATTGACACAGCAAATAGATATAATAGTATATTTTAGTTAGCTCACAAGCTTCTTGGATTCAAATGAGTCTTGGATTGGTTGGTTTGGTAGGACGAGCTATTTTAAAAAGCTAAAACTTATCTCATAAGTTTGCTTTCTGAGGTAGATTTTTAAACTTTGAAATTTTTATTTCCACATAATTATCATCCAACTATCGGCTAGTTTTTTATCCGCTTATAAGCTATCACGGATAAGCTCGATAAGCTATATATCAACTAAGATGTGTTTGGTAAGGACCATAAGCTAGCTTACATCTTATTTAGTTAGCTTATAAACTACTGTATTCAAATAAGTTTTGTTTATAAGCTTCCTTGAGTAGCTTTCCAAATAAGCCCGTTGAATCTTCGTATTTAGAATATCCATAAAAAACATCTCCGCATTTTCATTTCAGTTAGTTTATCAGCTAATTTTAACCGAACACTTTGATGGTATAAGCTAACTTTTCATCCATAAGTCATATGCTATCAGCTATAAGCTCGAAATTAACTTATAAGCTATCAACTTTCAACTTATCAACTAGGTTTACCAAACATAGCCTAACTTATTAGCTATCACCTAGTTTTTAGCTAGATTTACCAAACATAACTGCAATGATATCATAATTAACGTGATCCAACTGAAAAAAAAAAATTGAAAGAGAACCATAATATTAGTGCTCACCTGAAGAAGGTTCAGTACGTAGGTGTATTTTCCCCAAAGTTCGGGCCGCTTTTCCAAGAGGGAATGTTCAAGTATCCTGCGAATGCTCCAAACTCCAAAGCTTACGATGAGCTCCACACGCCACACACATCCATCACCACAGTTAGGGACAGACATAAACTTTGAATGATCTGTCTCATCGATTTTGATAGCACAACTAAGGTTTAAGTCCACAGTTCTTGTCTCGGCTTCGAATCGCAATCTCTCTCTAGCAGCCACTCGATCGATAAGCTCCTCATCAACCCCGCCATTTTGTCCGAACAGCGATTCAGAACCTTCCAAATTCAGAAGCTTCATGACGCAAATTCTGAAAGACTGTAGAAGCTTAGCCTCCATATCTACAGCCGAAGCAGGGATTTGGCTTTCAAGAGGAAATTTATCAGCAACTCCAAATTGCTCATAAGGCTGCCTCGAATAAAACGAGCCTGAACCCGATCCAGAACCAATTTGCAACGAGAAGGCATCTCTACACACCCTCGGAGTAGAGTTTTCTTTAAAACCTGAAGCACCCGAAGCCATTGCCGGATGATTAACCGACTGCCCATAACCCATCAAATTATTCTGCCACTTAGAGTTTTTATCAAATGAAGAATCTTGTTGCGGGGCGTGGAGCCTTGATATGGCTGGCAGGCTGTGGAATTTCTTCACGTTGTGCGGGTTATTATTATTACTGTAGTACATGGGCCGCTCGGGAGAAGGCTCGTTAAAAGCTCTTTGAGATTTCATCGAGCTATTACGAGCAATGGGGACATTATGAAAACCGGGTGGCTTCATCGTTCGCATTCCGTTATGTGGCTTCAGCCCCAACGGCTGACTGTATGACTCCAAGGTGTTTGATTTGATCGATGAGGTTTGGTCTAAGGACTCCACTTGACCTTTTGGATAATTGTGACCTTTCTCTTTTGCCACTCGATCCGCGTACGAAGCCAAACCGTAACCATGGAAAGTAGCTGGCTGTTGATCATGGCAAACGGAATAAGACGATGGAACGTGCATGCTACGATAACGCCTCTCACTGGAGTCAAGGGAATCGGGACTGTAGCCTTGCATATATGCATTCGGCATTTGCATTTGATTAGACCACAATGCTAACCCTGGCTGAATACCAAGAGTGGATCCAATATTAGTCACTGAAGGACCGTAAAAGCTAGAAGTATTTAGACGATCCGACGTTCTCTGCAATTTGACACTTTCCAATTTAACGGGTGCAAAGGAAGGTTTGTTCGGGTCTATCTTAGACTCAATCCCCAATAGAACATCCAATTTCATAGTCTTGGCCTCAGTCGTTGGCTGGCCATGGTAATCAAACAGCTGTCCCCAGAATTCATTAAGGATTGCAGCTAACTGACGCCTTGCGGAACGGCCTAATCCCAATAATCTCGAATGACTCCCATTGTTACTCCCAATTTCATCATTATTTCCATTAAGACTTTTGTATGATCCTGGACCCTCTGAAGTCAAAGACGGGTGTGTGACATCTTCGATTTTCAACGTCTTCTCCACCATTTCTTTTGATTCAGAGTTCGAGGTGGCATCATCCGGCAATTCACTTTTAACTATCTCATCAGATTCAGACATGGTAAGTTCGGAAACATTTGCTAGTTCCTTGGGTTTACTCTCCTCAATCGTGGTCAGAAGACGATTATTGGTCTTTGGGTACAGAAGAGTTTTGGGCAAATTCAGATCAGAATCTCGGGTCGAGAGATTCCGATTGTTTTCAAAGGATTTCCGCAATGATGACATGAATTCTTGATTTTCCGTTGGCTTTTCGAAGTGGCTTTGTTCAGTAATTCGAGCTTGGTTTCTATCAACAGAAGACACTGTCACAGTTCTGCCCCAGTTCAATGCCTGTGTATCTCTACCAGAAGTTTCTGACTTCAATGGAGTGATTGAAAGCCAAATCATTGAACTCATGGAGGCAAAAGAAGCTATCAGCAGAATAATATACGAAATAGGCACACTACTCTCAATATTCCACTTTAAACTAATAACCCAATCACTACTGCCGAATAACAATTCGGTAAAAAACACGATCATTATCCCAAGCACGCCAAGAAATGAGAGTAGAGCTAAGAATTCCACCGGACGGGAGATCGTGTAAGCACCCATAATCGATCTGGAGGAAGCAACTCGGAATAGAGGGATGACAGAAGATGGAAGTAAAAGCCCAACCATTACCTGTGCAAAGATCAAGAGTTGAAATATAGCTTCGGCCCCTGAATGCTGAACGCAAAAAAGTGCGGTTAAAATCGCGATTAATTTGATCGTAGCACGATGACGCCGACCGGAAATCTCGAATCTGACGAAACTGTAAACAGTCATTTGTTGTCCGAGGCTCGATTTTGCTGCCACGAGTTGGTTTGAGAAAAAAATGATAAATATTAAGGTAATTGAAGCTACTAAGGAGCTTCTAAATCCCCGCTGCTGGTCCATCAATGTAAGTGCATCCTGTAAAGTGAGTGAAATGAGTCCACTGCCATAGTACACATTGGCTGCCGAGCTCATTAGCATAAAATTGACCAGATAAATGCCGCTAAACACCCATAACGTGGCGAAAAAATGGTCGTGACACAGGGTCCCTTGAGAAACATATGTTGGCCGTTGATCTTGCTGCAAATATATAAAAAAAAAGAAAAAAAAAAATCGAAGAAGTTCAGAATACTAGGAAATTAAAATCAATAGATCTCTGCAGAAAGAGATTAGACAGAGAGCATAGAGATTTGAGACCTGTACAATAGAAGAATGGAGGTAAAAGTTGTGTGGCATAATATTTGCTCCGAGGACACTCATCAAAGCATATGCATTTTCTCCAGTTAGCTTAGTAAGCATCCAGCCAGAAGACAGTGAGCTTTCTGGTTGACTTATGAGAACTCCAATACCATAGGATGCTAATATAAAGCATGCCGAAAATATTAATGCATTCTTTGCCTTGGGATTTTCCTGCGATTAAAAAAAAAAGGCCACTAATACTAATATCTGCACCAACCTAAGTAAAAGACGGTAAAACTGAAGAAACTTACAAGAAAGTTAAAAATAAATGGAAATAGAACAGCATGAAAGCCGGTCAAGAAAACACTAATAAGTAGGTCGATCCCAAAAACTGCATGAAAGCCATAGGCTGTGCCGAGAACCTACAAGAACAATCTTTCAAATATTAGAAAGAACAGAGGAGAGAAGGAAAATAACCAAGTTGCAAGTTTTCTGAGGAGTGAAGAAACTACCATTGTGAGATCTAACACAAGCATTGAGATTTCTGCCTGAATTCCTAAAATTAAGCATGTCAGTTCATCATATTCCTCGCTGCAAATCTACGACATTATTAAGAGGAACAAATTCGCGAAATTTTAGAGTTTATACAAAACAAAGCATTGAAAAAGAGAACACAGAAAGGGAGTCTAAAGAAAACTTGTATAATTTGATAAAGTGCTCAAAATTATTTATAAAAGAATCATGCTAAGAGCGCGCTGAAATTTTCAAAGCAAGTTGATACGCAAAATATGATATAATTTAAGCATGCACTCGGCATGATTACTACGTCTTACAAAATGCTGATTACACCTTAATCATTCTTCACAGTTCACAAACTCCCTTCATAATTCAAGCAAATTAATAACATTCCTGAAAAAGGAAAATCGAATATATACTATCGAATACCATACCAATGTTCTAACAATCGCTTATGTGGCGAGCTAGGGCCTTTAAGAAAATTTATAAATCTATGTGCAATCTCATTATTATATAAAAATATACATATAATCAAATTCAAAGGTTATGCTAACACAATAAATTTGTAACTAGAAGGGCCATCTAATTGCCCAAGCACCTATAAGAGCCACCTAGGCAAAAATCGGGATGGCCAGTTAATTACCTTATCCAATATTCAGAACAGTTCCATCTATAGAGTCAAATTTTGTCTTTTTGCTATGATGAACTTCTTACTCAATTAAAAGTAGTTCAAACGATTAGTTTAAGAAAATGAATAACCATGCCATTAAAATAATTAATGCACCTCATGAAAGTAAATAGTGCAGGAAAAAAAAAAACTACCTGGGCAAGATTTTTCTTGGTGGCAATGGCAACACGAGCAGACAGATACTGGCATAATATAGCGGCACAATTTATAACAAGCACGATCAAAGACAAATCAAAACCAAACCGAGCACCTCCCTCTACAAATGCAGCCCACTTTCCTGGATCGACATAGCTGACAGCAACCCAAAGTACCGGTCCAGCAGCAGCAAACACCCGGTCTCTTGTGCTCGGCTGATAACTTAAGCATGCCTCAGATTTTTCCATTTGTTCTCTATATAAAAAATAAGAGAAAAAACAGATAATCTTAATGTGTTCACCAGAACTCATTACATTTCGCCTCACAACAAATCCACCTTACAGATGAACCTGATATTCAATTAATCAGGAATATTGATGTCTGTCTTCATCTTCAGACAGAAAGTCAGTGTAGCGTGAGTATTAATTCCGGCTGATTACAGTTTGTTTGATAATATTTCCTCAGACCGCAAAACCATGATGAAAGTATTTCTCTCAATCAATACGCCGATCCTTCATTGAGATTCATATTCAAATAGACAAATAGTTGATCTGTACTAACAGATCATTCCTATGTCTGGCACTTAAAAACGGCTTCTGATTCTTCGAAAGGTAAACAAAGGTGGTCGCAATCAAGAATCACGGTCCAACGAGGTAGAGGCACGGTGCTAACAATGAAGAAGCAGATTGTAAAAACCTGATACAACATAACAACTTAAGAATTAAGACAATAATCAGCACACCATCCAAACATTTCATGGTATCTTTAAATATCAAGTGATGTAAACAGTGAAAACAGATAGTTACAATAGTATCAACAATTCGACGTTAAGATATATGTTGATTAGAATAGCAATGATCAGAATATATTTCATGTATACGCCGAGGGTCAAAGGAATAATGATCAGAATATATTTCATGTATACGCCGAGGGTCAAAGGAATCTCATATTTCAATATAGAATTCAAAATAAAATGCCTTCCTTAACCAATGACGTAAAGAATTTTCAACGTCAATCCATTAAAATTTGAAAGCTACCTAAGAAATGAACTATTAGTAGAGTATACTACCATTTAAACGTGATAAACACGCAATCATAAAGATGTTTACTGTCTGCAAAACCAAACAACATGAGAAATCGAGAAAAAATCGTATTTGAATACAAAGCAAAACAGAACAATTCAAAAATCAAACAATCAAGCCAAAGCAACAGAGATATTGATCTCCATATCATTTTTAACACTTGCAAAAGAATTACCAAAAAAAAAAAAGAGACCGAAAACTTACATGAGTGACAAACAGTAATTCAGTACCAAACAAGACATGTGTAAAAAAGGCAAACAGAACAGCATATCACACAGCTCACAGATCGTCACATTATCATATCAAAATGCCACCACAGAGCCCATCACCACCAAAAATCCCTAATTTAAAACGACCATCCATCGTCCATATCCATTATCCAGAAACCAAACATTAAGGCACTGATAAAAAAACCTTCGAAACCCACAATCAAGCACAAACAAAAACACCCGTAAATCCCCATACTACAAACGGAAGAACAAAAACAAACATTAAATAAGCGCATTCTACACAGACATGGGCACAGAATATAAGGGTTGTCCCTGTCCATTTTTCAACTCTTTCTCTAATTTATGATTGTACCCGCTATTTTACTACTCACTCCCTTTTCGCGTCCCTCTTTAGCTGCGCTTTCTTGGAGCTTAAGATCAAAGGGTTCCACGAAAAGCCACGCTTTTGACTGATCGATGAATTTACCGAGTAAAAAACCCAAAAAAAAAAGGTGATAGATACAGATAAATACACAGTGAGCTGGGTTTGAGCAGTGTAGATAGAGAAAGGGAAGTAAAAAACAAACGTTTATTCATACTCAGACAACAGATTCATACTTGGGCGATGGTGAGAGGTTGGCTTCTTTGAGCATAAAAGCGAAAAAAAGAATCAATTTTTTTTGGGGAGAGAGGAAAAAATGGTGATCGCCAAGGAGAGAGAAAATAAACGGTACGGAACACGATATTTTACTGTTACATACATATAAGTGTTTAACTAACGGTGTAGCATTTACCTCATTTATTTATTTAGATGAAAAAAAAAAAAAAAGAAGAAGGAATAATAACCCAGCCGAGCAAAAAAATCAGTCGGCCCAAAACCCTATCTCTACCACAAAATCTCTCGTCAGAAAATTCTACGCTCTTTACCTCCACTCACCGGTCGTGAAGCCGAGCAACAATGGCGTCTTTAGCAGCAACAAGACGAACCCATTTGAATCCAAGCCTCTCCAAGCTCCCTTCCCCAATTTTCCTCAAATCCCTCTTCTTCTGCACCTCGCCCGCCTCCCAATCCCCGAACCCTACCTCCGATGAAGGCTTCCCCGCGCCCCCAAATCCAGATCACGACTCCTCCCCGCCGAAAACAGCGGCTGAGCCATCACCATTCCGCCGCCGGGAAGTCAGTCGCCGCCGGGGCCCGGAGAAAATCGAGGACATCATCTGCCGAATGATGGCGAATCGGGCCTGGACGACCCGACTACAGAACTCAATCCGAAACCTCGTCCCGAGCTTCGACCACGAGCTCGTCTACAACGTGCTGCACGGCGCCAAGTACTCGGAGCACGCGCTCCAGTTCTTCCGGTGGGTTGAGAGGTCCAATCTCTTTCAGCACAACAGGGAAACCCACCTCAAGATCATCGATATTCTTGCTCGGGCCTCGAAGCTCAACCACGCGAGGTGCATTTTGCTTGACATGCCCAAAAAGGGCCTCGAGTGGGACGAGGATTTGTGGGTCCTGATGATCTACAGCTATGGGACAGCCGGGATTGTCCAGGAGAGCGTGAAGCTGTTCCAGAAGATGGAGGAGCTGGGAGTCAAGCGGGGCGTGAAGTCATACGACACTCTGTTTAAGGTAATCCTGCGCAGGGGCCGGTACATGATGGCCAAGAGGTACTTCAACAAGATGCTGGCTGAAGGCATCGAGCCGACCCGTCACACTTTCAATATCTTGTTATGGGGATTTTTTCTCTCGGGAAAAGTCGAGACAGCCAATCGATTTTTCGAGGACATGAAGAGCCGTGATATTGCGCCCGATTTGGTGACATACAACACGTTGATCAACGGTTACTACCGTGTCCAGAAAGTCGAGGAGGCGGAGAAATATTTCGTCGAGATGAAGGGGAGGAACATTGAACCGAATGTGATTACATACACAACTTTGATCAAAAGTTATGTTTCGGTCGAGCGGGTTGATGATGCATTGAGATTGTTGGAGGAGATGAAGGGATTTGGGATCAAGCCGAATGCAGTCACTTACTCGACACTTTTGCCCGGCCTGTGTGATGCTGATAAAATGCCCGAGGCCCGGACTGTGCTGAAGGAGATGGCGGCTAAGTATATTCAGCCGAAAGATTACTCGATTTTTGTGAGGTTGATGTCCAGTCAGTGCAAGGCGGGTCACTTGGATGCTGCTTTAGATGTTCTGAAGGCTATGATTAAGTTGAGTGTGCCTACACAGGCTGGGCACTATAGTATTTTGATCGAAAATTTCTGCAAGGCTGGTGAATATGAATGGGCTATTAAATTATCTGATAAACTGATTGAGAAGGATATCATCCTTAGGCCTCAGAGTACTCTGCACTTGGAGCCTAGCGCGTACAACCCACTAATTAACTACCTCTGCAAAAATGGACAGACTTCAAAGGCCGAAACTTTATTGCGTCAGCTGATGAAATTGGGCGTGCAGGACTCGGCTGCTATGAACACCCTTGTAATCGGGCATTCCCAAGAAGGCTCTCCGGAATCCGCTTTCGAATTTCTCAAAATCATGCTCCGGAGAAAAGTTAGTACTGAGAAGACCTCATACGACTCGCTCGTCCAGAGCTATCTTAAAAAGAACGACCCTGCGGAGGCAAAAATCGTTCTCGAAAGCATGGTCGAAAATGGGCACCTCCCAGATTCTTCCCTTTACAGATCGGTAATCGAGAGTTTGTTTGAGGATGGACGAGTTCAGACCGCGAGCCGCGTGATGAAGATGATGTTAGAAAAAGGAGTCACAGATCATCAAGATTTGATTTTTATGGTATTGGAGGCTCTGTTCATGAGGGGCCACGTAGAGGAGGCCCTCGGCAGAATTGAGTTGCTCTTGCAGAGTGGGGTTGTGCCCGATTTTGACCGAATCTTGTCCACTTTGTGCGAGAAAGGGAAAACGATTGCGGCCTTGAAGCTTTTGGATTATGGCTTGGAGAGGGAATACAGTGTACAGGTGTCGAGCTACGAGAAGGTTCTGGATGCCTTGTTGGCTGCCGGGAAAACTCTTAATGCGTACTCAATACTCTATAAGATTATGGAGAAAGGAGGAGTTAGTGATTGGAGTAGCTGCAAAGATTTGATCAAGAGTCTCAATGAGGAAGGGCATTCGAAGCAGGCGGACATTTTGTCTCGGATGATTACAGGGAAGGATAAGGATAAGCCGGTTAGAAGCAGAAAGGTGATAAGAAGAAAGGTGCCATGGCTTGCTAGGTGAAAAAGATTGTGGCTTTTCTTGTTATCTGGAGGTCCAAATTTTATTCATGAATTTATTCCAGACTAACGTTGAAGTTTCGTTTTATCGTTTTTGGTTGAAGTTAATTTTTTAGCATCGAACTGTGAGAGAATCATCTGATGTGGTTCGTGGTTTTTCTTGGTTTTCCAAGGTTAGGAGCTTCTTTATGTGTTTGTACTCCAGTTTTTGTTCTGGGGTTCGGTTTACTTCCGAACAACTGCATGTTCTGGTTCGATTTCCTGGTGCTAATAAAGAAAGCGGATGTATTTCTGAGAAACATGGATAAATTCATGAATAGAATGCTTTGAAATTTTGGATCTATGGTATATTTTACAGATTAGAATTTTCTGTGGCTTTGTAATTATAATTCTCCTGAAGCCTTGATGATCGTTGAATAGAATACTGCAGGAAATGGGTGATTATATGTATAATTCTCAACTTACTTTTTTGCACGTTCTCAACCGACTCTGGGATTTGGGGTTTGCTTCAATTTCGTTCGTCTGTCGGCTTGCGCTTGTTTTATTTCGAATTTTTTCTACCTAAAGCGTAAAACATTGTGAGTCGGCTTTCATATTATGGTTGGTCAGCTTTAGATCTGCTGTATATCTGCCATTTATATGGCGCTTTGTGTGTTTTTCATTTAAAAAATAAAATAAAATAAAATGAGTATGTATCGTGTTTGTCGTGTGTTTGTT